TGTCCTCGCAGTCAAACTCGTTGGGCCGACATTTCTCTGCAATACACCAAAAGGATTACTCAATACACACAACACTGTATATAAACATACAGAATATTCTGGCAAAAATAATCTAGTTTTACACATAACAAATCATTATAGGGCACAGACAGTGAGTATTACACATTGTTATCTGTTATCATATATACTACACCACTATTACTGTCCATTCGGATCAAGTGTTAAACTCATATAAAGTATACAATCGTATAAAACTCATATACAGTATAGGATTAAGTAGCGCGTAGAGCACTACGGATTAAACCATGATAAATCTTAAGCAAACACAGGTTATGCCTATTCATAACCTAATGTCAATTCATACAAACACCCCATACTATCATAAAGAACCCACTATAACTTACATGATCATGATAAGTAACGTAACTACTTACGAGACCTACAGTATGTCATACATGCACAAACAACTATATAGTAGAATAATAGTTTAATCGGTTTAACCTCAGTATTAGAGTCAGGCAGTATCGGCTCAAGGTTCAGCTTTTGAAATAGTAGGTAATTTGTATACAACCAAACACATTATGAACAAAAAAAAAAATACAATTTAATTTATATTATTTAATTAAAAACAAATAAAATTTTAAAAGTTAAACCTTGAGCCGAAACTGCCTGACCCTACTCAGTACGTAACTATATAATCATAATTATAACAAGTACCATGGTTAAAACCAACTGACCTTTACTACTGCTGAGCTCTCTGAAGGCGGTGTATGTGATCTCGAAATTAACGTTCTGTAAGGCGTCGTGTTTGGCGAAGAACCGGATGTGCATTACGTTAGTCTTTGAGCGCACGGACTCGGCCTGAGTGCCGCAGAATTGGATCTCACGCTCGGATGTGCTCAACTTGTCGTGAAACACCTCGATGTAATTGGCCTCACAGTTGTTCGGGTTGTTTAGCCTGTACTCGTTGAAGTTTAAATACATCTATGTCGTTATGGACAAAAATAAGCTTGGTTTAATTGAGCGAATTTGTTGTAATTTTGTTTTTTCATTTTATTTTGTCGTATTATTGGGTGCTTTAGTTGGTTATCCTATTTTTGATATACAGTTCATTTCTCTATTGATTATCCATTATTTAACTTTTTGTTTGTTTTCCATTGAAAGTAATTTTTAGAGCTTAATAAATACAAACATAACATATTATGGTAATATTTACTTATTATGGTCAAAAAATAATAAAATAAAAATAATTAATTTCGGTAAACATAAAACTTTCCATTATTACTATAAATATTTAATAATCAGCACGTGAAAAACAACTAATAAACTTAATATATTTAGCTGCATGATACAATAATTTAAACAAAGTAAAATAATACTTTCTCAATAGAGCCATAATAGACGACCTCAATAATTATACTATGCAAACAATACGGCTAAACAAATAATGCCCTGAAAATTATTTAAATCTTCATAAATGTAGCCTAATTAATGCCTCGCTGAATAATCAACAAAAGTATCAAGATGGCTTATAATGTGTATACGTAATGTGTGCTAATTCATATATGTCAAATACCTTATAACCAGGTAAAACTGTGATATTCCACATGCAGTCGAGTGAGATCTCTTGGGCTATCGAGTAATTCTGTAATTCTGCCGGAATTTCCTTGTGGTGAATGAGTCCACTCACACCAGTCTTGTTGAACCGACACTCTGTATATGCAGTCATACAAAAGCATACAGTGTTTTGTGATTTAATCAATATTTTGTTAAATACATGTGACAATAGAGTTCCTTGTGGTGAATGAGTCCACTCACACCAGTCTTGTTGAACCGACACTCTGTATATGCAGTCATACAAAAGCATACAGTGTTTTGTGATTTAATCAATATTTTGTTAAATACATGTGACAATAGAGGAGACGACACTAACCTTTTGGCGGTTCAGGCCTTTCAGCTGTTGAGAGAGTGGGAGAGAGAGAGAGAAAATTAGTGAATGTATACAAAAATACATGTATAATAGATAAAATTAACGATTTAAATAGTTGTTTGCTTTTTGAATAAATTTTTCTCATTCACTTTCAATACACAACAAATGTATATAAATTACACAATTATTATAATACGAGAAATTATAATATTAACATGATTATCAACGCCCAGTAAATAGGCATCACGATTATTGTATTTTGCCTCTCATTTCATTCATTAGCCGCTAATTAATTAAATCATAACTGAATTTAATTGTTTCCTTAATTTCATATTCCAGTCACTCATTGGCGGCCAAATGTATTGACACTAATCGCCTGTTCACTAATACAACACATACACTATATATTACATTCTGGTAACAGAATATCCCTGTAATATATTCTGTTCATTTCAATATACACTATATGTTTATAAAACATTTAATCTTAATTAATGTTTAATATGATTATTAAAGCAAATGATTTACACCTAACTACTGGCACTTATATGAATTTATATGTATGCATAAAAGTTATAGATAAGTAGATTATATAAATAACGACGCTATGTAAAACAACTAAAAATATATGTATTCCGAATGAAATAAATAATTATTTAATGTATGGTAAAAATACACACAATTAAACTAGGCAGTAATTTAAATAATATACAAATATCCGGATAAAAATTTCAATATATATTAAAACCTAAAACTAGAAATATTATTCCGGTTTTGCGTACATAAAAATATATGGGATATAAAATGGTACTTTGAATACGACTATTACTTCAATATGATTTATGGATACTGAATAAATATATGTAAATTTAAAATCAAAAATCAAATACACTCTCTATTGATATGTAGATATAGTCTTCGCATCTACTTTATATCGAGAGAGAGAGAGAGAGAGAGAGAGAGAGAGAGAGAGACTAAGTATATTTGTGCGGACAAAACCCTAGGGTAAAAAGCTAGTAACAAAAATGAACATGGATGATCGAAAAAAAAGTTACATTAATGACTTACTGGGAAGCTTTTTGAAGGAATAGACGGCTCTAAAGCCCGAGTACTCGATACTCTCGTCGGACACGAACCGTAAAAACAGGTACCGATCGCTTGAACTGATATCCCGGGGGAACTCATGGCCGCACAGTTTGGCGATCGGGTTTGAGTA